TTAAAACGCTTCGCCAAGAGCATTAGAATTTTCAACTTGTCTACTTTTTGTTGGAATTTTAAATTGATTTAAAACTGTTTTATTTTTAAACTTACGTCAGTAAGTTTCTCGTGTCGCTTGTGAACAAATTAAAATTAAAATTGACAATATTTTTGTAATTCTTTCAAGTTTGTAAATCTTTGTATAATGGCAAGTCGGAGAGTCTAATAAACAGGATTTAATTTTTATCAAAAATCTGTATTTATATATTTCTTGTATTGTAAGTAGATGAAAAGAAATGTATATATGCATATATAAAAGAAAAGGATAAAGGAATACTAACAATTTAACAATTAAGTGCAAGCAATGTCAACAGTAACAGTAATTCATATCGCTACGTTAAATTGCTCTCTCAACGAAATATTTAACGGTTTCCAAATAGTTTTCCAATCAAACAAATGTACAAAAAAAATTTTTTAATATTGAAAGTCAGGGAAAATCGTGAAATTTTGTCAAATCAGGAAAAAGCCAGTGGAATTTTAGAATGAAGAATTTGTGACAACCCTGGTCGTAATAAAATTTTCGTACACTGTACTTGCAAATGTGATAATGGTAATCCAATGAAACATTTAATAAATGCCACTATTTAACGATGTCGGATGTTCTTTTAAAGGATAATAATCCATACGTGAATAAGGTAATGGACTGGAAGATGAAATACGACGAGTCAGATAATGCCATACTACGCGCTTCCAGATTGCTTACGGATAAGGTTTCGGACATTATAGGCGGGCTGTTTCAAAAGACCGAGCTGTCGGAGACGCTCACCGAGATCTGTAACTTGGATCCCACTTTCAGTAAGATACAGTTCCTGAAGGACTGCGAGACCGACTTCATCCCAAATATTCTCGAGGCGATGGTCAGAGGCGACCTCGAGATACTCAGGGACTGGTGCCACGAAGGGCCCTACAACATAATCGCGCAACCGCACAAGGAAGTCAAGAAGTTGGGCCATTATTCGGATAGTAAAATTCTAGGTACGTATTTACAGAACACACTCGTGATCTACATGTTCTTACGAGGGTTGCCACAAAACTGGAAATCAGGGAAAAGTCAAGGAATTTTATAAAATTTTCTGGAAATTTAAAATTCTTAGATTTAAAGAAAACATACACTTATGCAGTTTTGTTAGTTAATGTAAACTCTCTTTCTAATAGAGATTTAAAATGCTTTTACTGAGAGCATTGGAATTTTCAACTTGTCTACTTTTTTGTTGGAATTTTAAATTTATTTAAAATTGTTGTTTTTTCTAAACTTTAAAATTTCGTGTGTCACTTGTGAACAAGTTAATAAAATTAAAATTAACTTCATATTTTTGTAATTCTCCTTACAAGTTTGTAAATCTTTGTATAATAGCAAGTCGGAGATTCCAATAAACAGGATTTAGTTTTTATCAAAAAGAATCTGTATTTATATTTCTTGTATTGTAAGCAGAAAAGAATTGTGCGCTTATATAAAAAAAAAAGATAAAGAAATACTAACAACTTAACAATTAAGTGCAAGCAATGTCAACAGTAAGTTACATAAGTAATTTACATTGCTATGTTAAATTGCTCTCTCAACAAAATATTTAACGGTTCCCAAATAGTTTTCAAATCAAACGAACATACAAAAAAATTTTTCAATATTATTGAAAGTCAGGGAAAAAGATCGGAAGAGCACACGT